AGTTAGGGAACTATTTTATAACTTTTAATAGTATGAGGATTTAATAAAATAATATCCTATAACCGGGGACCATTTGTGTACTTTACCCTAATAATTAATAATAACATCGTTTTGACTTCTTTTTTATGCAAGAACTGTGTACTGTATCCCATGTTAAATTTCTGAACAAACTTTAGCTACTACTTGTATTCATATTCTTACAATCTCTTTAGTTGTCGAGAACCACAGCAATAATACATATTTTGCTTATCATATACTCACCAATTAAGAATATGTTATTTAATTATACATCTTTAATAAGTTATAAAATCTTAAGTTTACTATATATATTAGCAATAATTTCATTTTTATATCCATGTTATCTCATAAATTATAGTTGTCATTCTTAATAATATGATTTTTAAATAGATGAGACAAAATGGATTGTGAATTATTGACGGTTTATTCATTTTGATTTGGGTGGAGAGCCGCAATTAGTAGTAGGTTGATCGTTGATTGATGTCAAATTATTTTATCTCCATGAGAAGGTAGAATATAGATGAATATGGGTGAGTTGGTTTCATATAGGTTGCAACTTGTCTCTCGGTATTGGTCGAGAGATTTTATAGTGACCGCTATTGCGAGTGTTAATCATATAGTCATCATGACTACATATAGTTTAGTAGACCATGTGGATTAGATCAAGTGACAGTAGATTTGGTTTTAGACATTCAAGGTTCTTCTTCTAGAAACGTTCTCTCTATGTCTTTTGAATTCTCTAAGTATTGAAAATTAGAAGATGTTTTTTCATCCTCTAAGTATTGAAAATTAGAAGATGTTTTTTTATCCTCCAAAGGATATAAGATTCAAGAAGTGTGCAAAAGACCTTTGACTAGATACAAAAGTATATAATCTTATTTAAATATCTAAACTATCTTTTAAAAGTAATAAATATGTACATTTCAGGAATTCATTGAGTGACTTCAGCGGTTAAAGAGAATTTTGTTCTCCATTTAGACTCTGAGTTCAAACAGTTACATCTATAAGGTGTGCGTTGTCAATAACTAAGAAAGATCTTAAATAGATGCTATCTTATAATCATTTTGTATTATTAAAAAAATATATCTACGTCTAAGTGGTGGTAGGGGTTTAGTGGACAAGTGGGCAGTAGGATGAAGAGAAAGGAAGAGTTAATGAGTGATGAAACTAAACGTGAAAAGCGTAATGTTGGCTCTACATTAATTGCAGACAGGTAGTAGCTCAGCAAACAACTAGACCTAATTGATGCATACAATTAGATGTTAGCTGAGATTTTAATTAAAGGAGATTTGGACGTTGGGTATTTTAACATCAGTAAATGAAACCACCAACCAAATGCTGCGGTTTTATTGTCCAGAAATTCCTTCGTTGTCTTCGTCCCACATCCTTTTGGGTTTTGATATTATTATTTTTGTTATTTTTACAATTTGTACATGACTTAACCTTAAAGTGCACCACGTGCACACATTAATAAAATTATTTACTCATTTTCTATAGTTAATTAATATGCTATTATATACTTTAAAGTACATGTTAATTTCTTTGACCACAAAAGTTTTTGAGTTGTGTATGCTACTATATATATTCCCATCTAAACTAGCCATCTCTTCAATTCAAGAGCTAAACCCTAAAATGTTGAAAGTATTAGTTCAAAGTTTGGCAACCAACTTTGAAAAAATGATTTTCAAAGTTTGGTAAATGTCTCTTTGAAAATAGTTTTCAAAGGTTAGTAAATGTTTCTTTGAAAAATAGTTTTTCAAAGTTTGGTAGATGGTTGTTGAAAAATGATAATGGGATAATTACAAATAGTCATTGCACTTTAGGGTATTTACTAGATTAGTCCTTAAGCTTCAACTATAAATACCCTAACCCATTTAGCTTCAAGATCTGTAACATCCGCAATACCGGGTTAGTGACTAAATTGAAAAGTTTCAGAATTTGGTGATCAATTTAGGGAAAAATTGAAAAGTTTAGGGATTTAAAGTGTAATATTTTGATAGTGGATTAAATGGTAATTAAGGAAGAATTGAAAGGGTATTATGGTCTTTTTATGTAAAAGATAATTATCTCTTATTTAAAGAGATAAGCTGATGGGTGAGGAAGTATCTGAAAAGCTACATTCTTCTTCCTTCTTCTTCCCGTTGGTTTACTTCATAAAGGTGAGTTTAATTTCAGCTTCTTAATTCTTGAATTTATAAATTAGTTTTGATTCTTTGGGTATTAAATAAGCTTAAGGAAAGCTTATTTGGGATTTAAACAATAAGATAAAGAAATTAAGAAGGAATTTGTAATATGAGTTTTAAGATGAAATTTTGATATGGTATGGTTGTTGAAGTTTTATGGATGAATTTGACTTGTCATCAATCTAATTAAGAGATTTGGAGTGATAGAATTGGATTTAGAACATATAGAAAATTTGGTATGATTCTTGAATTACATATGGAAGATAGGATTTTGAGATTTAAGATGAAATAAATGAATATAAATTGGTTTAAGTATGTGTACTAGAGTTAAGAATGAAAAAGGGGATGATATGAAGTGTTGAGCTGAAAATGAAGTGATTTTCGAGCTAAAAATGTGATTTCTGGGCAAGGGGAATCGGTACCCATTCAAGGGGAACCGATACCCCCTCAAACGAACATAGAATTCCAGAATGCCAGAGGGGAACCGATACCCCCACAGGAGGGAACCGATTCCCCCTAAATGAAAATATAGAATTTGATTCATTAAACCGGTTTAAGTTATTAACATCAAGTTTAAAGTTTAGGCTTCTGATAGTTGTTTTGAAATGATATATTTATGTAGATATTGAGCCTAAACAAGTTCTGGAATAATCAAAGGATTATAATCGAATCAAAGCAAAGCTAAGGTGAGTGCAATTTATTTTGTACTTATTTTATTAACATTGGCTTGTGATGAGCCAGTGATGGAGTTACTATGGTAAGAAGTAACTTCTAAATTGTTATGTGATTACCATGTATGCATTAATACATAGAAATAGATGGATGCTATGTTATAAGAATTATATGCTTAAGTGAAAATGCAACATATGATATATGTTATTTGACATGACATGCATGGTTACATGAAAGAAAGCTATGTGACTACATGTATATGTGAAAGAAGCTATAAGCTTATATGCACATGTGATATACGTGATATGAATTACATGAAATGATTTACATGAATACATGTATATATATATATATATAATACATGTGATATGATATGAGATATATGGTTACACATACATGTGGTATGTGACATAAGAGAAAGAACAAGTGATACGAAAGGTATAAATAAATGCCCATAGTATATGATACGAGAGCTATAGGTATAGTTGGCATGCCAAAAGTCGAGGGTTTTACCTATGTCTTTCGAGACATATGGACAGTATACCTATGTTCTAAGGAACATATGGACAGTTACCGAGGATCTTTATGACCTCTGGATAGTTACCGGGGTCTTTGTGACCTCTGGATAGGTCCTTCGGGACATTTATATGAGCTGTGGTGATAGCATAGTGGTTCACAACCTCAATAGACTCACATATCTACAGTTCTCACAGGTGCACATGGGCTAATAAGAGATAACATGGAATGTACTGTATATGATATATGTGTGTTAGTGATTATTGTATATGCTATAAGATATATGATATGAGCTTAATTGATTATTTGAACAAGAGAATAGAAATATGAAAGGTGATAATATGATAATTATAGGAAAGAAGATAATTATATATATATATCTATATGAAAGGTGCATAGTAGGAATCATTACATGTATATGTGGGTACTGGGTATGGTGCTTGTATGTGATATGTTAGTAGAAATTGTTCAAGCATGATTACGAGTTAGAGTTTTATTATATGTTTTATGCCTCACTAAGTCAACGACTTAGCGTGTGATTGTTTCACACGTAGGTTACAGAAGTGAGAAGAGTAAAGAGCTAAGAGGAGCAAGACAGGTCAGTTCTCCTTACCCAATTGTCAGATCAGAAAATATATGTACGATATATAGAGTGTAGTTGGCATGTAGTCTAAAGATATAAATTGTATGAACTCTGATATATTTTGTAAACGTTTTGAATGAGTTAAATGTTATCCAAGTTTTTAAATTACTCACTATTTTATACGAATAAATGTTTGAAAAGTCAATGTGACACCTCATACTCGTATCCGGGTCGGATACGGGTCGGGGGTGTTACATTTAATGGTATCAGAGCTAAGGTTTAGCCGATTCTCGGCATAAACCGAAGTCCAAAGTATCATAAAAGTATACATGCCGACATAAAGTAGAAAATTTTCTGATCTGATAGGGAAAGGAGTCTACTGTCTTGTTAATAGAGTTAAATTATTATGTTAAATAAGATATGTGAATACCAGAGAATGATTTATAAAATTTATATATATGTTTATATGATATGATGGATGATATGTGAACATATGCAATTGACATATGTTATACAATGTGAATTGGATGATTATACGCACACATGATATCAGATAGAAGAAATGATATGAGCACATGAAAATATTAGAGTTTCCAAAGTAAAATACAAGACGATAGACCTGAAGGTAATAGCATTCACCTGCCCTGGACAGGCAGGGAGAAGAGCGAAAACCTCAGGGAATGTCTGTATAAGATTAGAGAATGATTCATGATGTTGAATGATATTCCGATGTGTTTTTAAGTGTATACTTCGTTAACTCATAGAATGAATGTATCGAATAGTTAAAAGAGTTATGAGCACCCGATCTCAAGGGTGAATTTGAGGAAGGCTCTGTTGTTACAGACCTTTGGATAAATGATATGAAGATAATGCTAGAAGATGTTCATTTCTCCATAGTGGAAAAAAATTTAAATTGAAAAGTTTGTTATTATGTGGATAAGATAGAATATGGTGAACATGTGTCACCATAAGAATGTTAAAAAGATCTAATGACGTGGTGAGTACTTATAGAAGAACTCAAGGATAAGTGCATCAATGACAAGTGTATAAGATGTATAAAGTCAGAGCTTATGAGTTTGAAACGAAGTGATAGTATTGAGCATAAACAAGAGTATGTTTATGATAAGGGTTTGCAGTTAAGATGGAAAGAGTTAGCGTTGGCTAACTAGAGTATGTGATAAAAATATACTGGAATTATAAGATTATAAGATATTGTCAGGATATGATAACCAAATCTGAAATGGATCTGGATACAGTTGCATATTTGGATCATAGTAATGTGGTATAGTAAAGGAAAAAGAAGTAAGAATTTATATATTTGAGTAAAGCTGAGGATTGATAAGAAGAGTTTGAGAATATGTATATCGATGATCAGATTATAGGACACATGAAGTCAGAATGTTGAGTTTGAGCAAAAGAAATTTTAGGATGTATGAGAATAGTGGTGAAATTGATAAGTTGAGTAAGCGAATTTTGAGATAATTTAGATTAGAAATGATGTATATGATTGGTATAATAGGGCTTGTGCCCTAGATTGAACAAAAGTTATTATCTAGCTGTCAGAGTAAATGTGCTAGAGTTATAAGATTGGAGGAAAGATAAAGTGGAGTTAATCAAATATGATATGAATCTGGATGTGGTTATGTATCTTGACCATACAGATATGATGTAGGCAAAGAGATAAGCATTGGTATGTTTTAAAAAATGGCTTTAAAGAAGAAAATACAAATACAAGAGATGATAAAGAATAAAGTTCGATATAAGAAATAAGGATATCAAAGTTATGAGGATGCAATGAAGATTGTTATACAGAAATGAATATAGGTGATAAGACAAGAGTATGTAAACATGAAAGGAAAGATATGATTTGTGTATAAGGAATAAATAAAGGAAGAATGGAATAAAGAAATGAAAAGGGATTGAGTTAAATGATCAAATACGATAAAGGTTATATGGAATGTAGATGATAATTTTGATATATAAGTAAGAAAAGTATGTAAGGTTATATGAAGAGATTATGTGTATCTTAATACAGACAAGGATGAAAGAATGAATAAAAGTTGGGATTGTGGTGGATTAATTAGAAAATGAGGAAAGAAATCAATTGATTGATTTTTTTTTAGTGATAAGAATTGATGTTACTGCCTACAGGATAAGTAACATTATATGAATGAAATCAGAGTTATGAATTTGAAACAAAAGGATATTATTGTGTATAAGAAAGAGTGTGGAGATGATAAGGATTTGTACTTTAGAATGAAAGAGATAGCGTTGACTAACAAGATTTTGTGATGAAATTGTATTGGATATAGTTGTATATTTTGATTACGTAAATGTGATATAGTGAATGAAGTGAGGATTCGTATGGAAGTGTAAATGATAAGTTCGATATAGAAACACGAAAAGTGTGCAAGGTGATGTGAAAATATTGTTTGACTCCTTAAAGTATATGTTTAATCACAATTGAAGAAGATTTAAAGTTGTGTTTTGGTCAAATGATGACGAAATACAAGTTTGGTATGGTTATAAGGTATTTAGAGAGTTATGAAAAAATAGATGGATTTATGATATAGAGTGGTGAGATGGATGTTACTGTCAATGTGATGAGTGACATTATATGGAATTTTAGAAAGGTCAAAGGAAAAATGCATAATCGAATGAGAGAAAAGACAACAATGGATTGGTATTACTGGTTATTGTTTATATGATAAGCAACAGAAGATGAAAGTATAAACGAAAAGATAGTTGGAAAACTAAAGGATTGAAAAGTAAGTTTCTGATGATAACAAGAAAGAATAAGTTAGGGAAGCAACATAAGAACATTAGAAGATATGTTCTTATTAAGATGTGCAGTGAAAATTCGAGGACGAATTTTCTTATAAGGAGGGAGAGTTGTAACATCCGCAATACCGGGTTAGTGACTAAATTGAAAAGTTTCAGAATTTGGTGATCAATTTAGGGAAAAATTGAAAAGTTTAGGGATTTAAAGTGTAATATTTTGATAGTGGATTAAATGGTAATTAAGGAAGAATTGAAAGGGTATTATGGTCTTTTTATGTAAAAGATAATTATCTCTTATTTAAAGAGATAAGCTGATGGGTGAGGAAGTATCTGGAAAGCTACATTCTTCTTCCTTCTTCTTCCCGTTGGTTTACTTCATAAAGGTGAGTTTAATTTCAGCTTCTTAATTCTTGAATTTATAAATTAGTTTTGATTCTTTGGGTATTAAATAAGCTTAAGGAAAGCTTATTTGGGATTTAAACAATAAGATAAAGGAATTAAGAAGGAATTTGTAATATGAGTTTTAAGATGAAATTTTGATATGGTATGGTTGTTGAAGTTTTATGGATGAATTTGACTTGTCATCAATCTAATTAAGAGATTTGGAGTGATAGAATTGGATTTAGAACATATAGAAAATTTGGTATGATTCTTGAATTACATATGGAAGATAGGATTTTGAGATTTAAGATGAAATAAATGAATATAAATTGGTTTAAGTATGTGTACTAGAGTTAAGAATGAAAAAGGGGATGATATATGAAGTGTTGAGCTGAAAATGAAGTGATTTTCGAGCTAAAAATGTGATTTCTGGGCAAGGGGAATCGGTACCCATTCAAGGGGAACCGATACCCCCTCAAACGAACATAGAATTCCAGAATGCCAGAGGGGAACCGATACCCCCACAGGAGGGAACCGATTCCCCCCTAAATGAAATATAGAATTTGATTCATTAAACCGGTTTAAGTTATTAACATCAAGTTTAAGTTTAGGCTTCTGATAGTTGTTTTGAAATGATATATTTATGTAGATATTGAGCCTAAACAAGTTCTGGAATAATCAAAGGATTATAATCGAATCAAAGCAAAGCTAAGGTGAGTGCAATTTATTTTGTACTTATTTTATTAACATTGGCTTGTGATGAGCCAGTGATGGAGTTACTATGGTAAGAAGTAACTTCTAAATTGTTATGTGATTACCATGTATGCATTAATACATAGAAATAGATGGATGCTATGTTATAAGAATTATATGCTTAAGTGAAAATGCAACATATGATATATGTTATTTGACATGACATGCATGGTTACATGAAAGAAAGCTATGTGACTACATGTATATGTGAAAGAAGCTATAAGCTTATATGCATATGTGATATACGTGATATGAATTACATGAAATGATTTACATGAATACATGTATATATATATATATAATACATGTGATATGATATGAGATATATGGTTACACATACATGTGGTATGTGACAGAAGAGAAAGAACAAGTGATACGAAAGGTATAAATAAATGCCCATAGTATATGATACGAGAGCTATAGGTATAGTTGGCATGCCAAGAGTCGAGGGTTTTACCTATGTCTTTCGAGACATATGGACAGTATACCTATGTTCTAAGGAACATATGGACAGTTACCGAGGATCTTTATGACCTCTGTACAGTTACCGAGGATCTTTATGACCTCTGGATAGTTACCGGGGTCTTTGTGACCTCTGGATAGGTCCTTCGGGACATTTATATGAGCTGTGGTGACAGCATAGTGGTGCACAACCTCAATAGACTCACATATCTACAGTTCTCACAGGTGCACATGGGCTAATAAGAGATAACATGGAATGTACTGTATATGATATATGTGTGTTAGTGATTATTGTATATGCTATAAGATATATGATATGAGCTTAATTGATTATTTGAACAAGAGAATAGAAATATGAAAGGTGATAATATGATAATTATAGGAAAGAAGATAATTATATATATATATATCTATATGAAAGGTGCATAGTAGGAATCATTACATGTATATGTGGGTACTGGGTATGGTGCTTGTATGTGATATGTTAGTAGAAATTGTTCAAGCATGATTACGAGTTAGAGTTTTATTATATGTTTTATGCCTCACTAAGTCAACGACTTAGCGTGTGATTGTTTCACACGTAGGTTACAGAAGTGAGAAGAGTAAAGAGCTAAGAGGAGCAAGACAAGTCAGTTCTCCTTACCCAATTGTCAGATCAGAAAATATATGTACGGTATATAGAGTGTAGTTGGCATGTAGTCTAAAGATATAAATTGTATGAACTCTGATATATTTTGTAAACGTTTTGAATGAGTTAAATGTTATCCAAGTTTTTAAATTACTCACTATTTTATACGAATAAATGTTTGAAAAGTCAATGTGACACCTCATACTCGTATCCGGGTCGGATACGGGTCGGGGGTGTTACAAGATCATCCCTAAAATCATTTCTTTCTCCCTAAACTAGAGAGCTTTCTTGTGAGTTGTGAGTGTTTTGTAAACATCTGTAAATTTTCTCTCTTTAGTAAAAGATCTGCAACAGTATGAAGACGTAGGCATAATTGGCTGAACTCCTTATCAATTTCAGGTATTATTTTTCCGCTTTTATTTCGTATTCTCACTAATCTGGTTATAGAAAAATTACTCGTACTCGGTTTATTTCCCAACAACTGGTATCACAACAGTTGGTTGTGAATTTTGTAAATTTTTGCGAGGTTACTATTCATTACTATTTACGTGAATAGTAAATTTTGTGAATAGTAAAAAAAATTATCGACGATACGAATTTGTCGACGGAGGTGTTCTAATACACGGTGGTTCGCAAGAATTGTCAGAAACGATCCAAACGAAGCCAGATTCGAGTGAGAGTGATGGTTGCAGATGAAGGGAATGTGAAAATTGAAAAGTTCGATGGTGCGGACTTTGGCTTTTGAAATATGCAGATTGAAGATTTTCTGTACCAGAAAAATCTATATCAACCTCTCTCAGGAAAGCAACCAGAGGGCATGAAGAATGAAGATTGGGCTCTTCTCGACAGACAAGCCCTCGAAGTTATCCGACTGACGTTATCCCGCAATGTTGCTTTCAACATAGCAAAGGAAAAGACCACGGCGAGTCTTATGACGACTCTCTCCAGTATGTATGAGAAACCATCGGCCTCAAACAAAGTTCACTTGATGATGCGATTATTCAATTTGCGGATGACGGAAGGGGCATCAGTGGCTCAACACCTAAATGAACTCAACACAATCACAACCCAGTTGAGTTCCGTGGAAATTGAATTCGATGATGAAGTTCGAGCTTTAATTTTCTTATCACCTCTACCAGATAGTTGGAATGCTATTGTTACAACAGTCAGCAGCTCATCGGAAAATAGCAAATTAAAATTTGACGATGTTTAGGATCTGGTATTGAGTGAAGAAATTTGACGGAGAGAATTGGGTGAAGCATCAAGCTCCTCAGCCTTGCACACAGAGTCTAGAAGGAGAACTTCATAAAGAAATTCAAATCATGGTAGATCGAAATCCAGAAGGGGGAAATCAAGAACGGGAAATAAAGATTTTACCTGTTATAATTGTCGCAAGAAGGGTCACATTAAAAGAGATTGACGAGCACTGAAGAAAGATACTGGCGAATAGGAATCTGCCAACATGATAGAGGAGATAGGTAATGCCATGATTCTAAGCGTCAACAGTCCGATTGAATCATGGATCTTGGATTCAGGGGCATCTTTCCACTCCACCCCATGCCAAGAAATCATGGAGAACTATGTCAGTGGTGATTTTGGGAAGGTTCATCTAGCTGATGATGAAACCTTGAAGATCGTCAGAAAAGGAGACATCCGATTAAAGTTGCCAAACCAGACCACCTGGAAGCTGAAAAGAGTGAGACATATTCCTGGCCTCAAAAAAAATTTGATTTCTGTAGGATAACTTGATGGAGAAGGATATAGTACAACCTTTTCAGGCTGTGAATGGAAGATTACCAAAGGAGCACTCGTCATTGCCTGTGGTAAGAATACTGGTACTCTCTATGTAACCTCAAACTTAGAGAATACCATTGTTGCAGCAGATGTTGATGAATAATCAAACCTATGGCACCAAAGGCTTGACCATATGAGCGAGAAAGGGATGAAGACACTTTTTTCAAAAGGGAAGCTGCCGGATCTAAAGAGTGTAGATGTCGGACTATGCGAGGATTGCATCTTTGGAAAACAAAAGAAAGTCAG